GGTTACACCTAGTATAATTATGGGCATCAAGCTTTTCCAAAAATACCTTAAACTTGTTACATAAACATATTACACATGTACTTAAAGCATCTTCACAGAAACATCCTAATTTTAACTATGTTTTATTTATATTCCCATGTTTGATACTGAGCTTTCAAAAATACCTATGTAAAGTAGGAACTTAACAGGGCAGAGAAACTCGCATATTGGTGCAAAATTGTTCCTCTGCATCTTCTTCAGGTTCATGGCTGTTGTGGAAGGCACATAAATAACACATTTTCGAGCTCCTCAGTTATATATCAAGGGGTAGAAGGAACTTTATCGTAATATCAGACACTGGAAACAATTCCAAACCCAACCAACTACTTCAAAAAGTAAAATCCTGCTATGTCCATTCTTTGGAGAGGTGCTAATTATTAAAACCAGTGATTCTTTTTTAAGGTCTGTATTATATTAATTGTTTCAAAACACATTGTATTTTGGTAGTTTTTACTTAAAAAAGAAAGAAACATCTTTAATAACTGAAATCTCACCTCGAACAGGAATCTCTACATTCCCCCAGTGCTTATCCTGTCTCACGTTAGTCAGTCACATCTTATCTTGTGTTACAATGAGGTGTCAAGGTCTCCTCTCCATTAAACACTGGAGCAGCTCCAATGGGGACCTGTCTATCCAGCAAAGCTACACTTTGCAGGGACACACTGTGGAGAACCTCTGGATAGAACAAAACAGCAGTTAAGTTTGCAACAACAGAGGGTCCTTCCCAGAAATTGTGGGAATTCTAACAATTTACATATGTGCATGAGCTAGGATCTTTGCAAAGTGAATAAGCATAGAGTGACAGACTATTTCTCAGGAAAAGTCAGTAAATTCCTATCAGAGGACATGTTCATTGCTCGGGAAAATTTCAGAGTGACTTCTGAGTGTGCCAAGACAAGCTCCCTCTAGGATATGGCCTGAAAGGAACAAGACACTGACATTTTCTGGTAGATAAAAGTGCATATTTTGAGCTTCAGAACGAAGGGGAGGCTGTACCATAAATGACGGTAACCCAATGTGGTCCTGAGAGAGAGAACAAAATTCTAGGCAGAACATGATGGGGAGACATACATGGCCACTCAGAAGCAGAAGGACTCCAGGAAGCAGGAGGCAATGGATGCCTCTGTCTCAATTCTAAGCTGTTTGCTTTGATGTAAACCCTCTGGACTGTCACACATGACCACCTCATCATGGGTGTGTCTGGAAGTGGTAGTTTGGAATGGAGAGAATGGGGTAGAAGTATCCTCCCCATCCATACTTCTCAATGACACTATTTCCAGAAACCTCAACATCAGGGCTGTATTTATTCTCTTACCTGAATCAACAACAACAACAACAACAACAAAGGGCAAAATATATTACAAAAATTAAACCAGATGGAAATACATGAATGATAGTGATGCAACAGAGAACTGTTAATACAAGGTGCAAGGTGGGTATGAGAATGTTAGAGAGGACAAACAGACAGAAGGGACAAAAACATGGACAGAAGGAGAAACAGCAAAGCCAGAGATAATGAGACACAGTGAACAGAACCTCCAGGAGTCCACAAGAGATAAGAGGACTGGGGTGGAACAGCCCTTCTCACAGGATGAGAGACCTCGAACTCTGGGGCTGATAGCTGAGTGCTCTCCTTGACCGCCACTTTCTCTCACTCCATGGCCAATTAGCCAGCAAGTCTTGCCAGTGACAAGTTCAAGACACACTCAGAATCCAACCATTTCTCACCCCTTCGCTGCTGCCAACCTGGACTGAGTTTTCACTTGGACACCAGCAAGAATCTCCTCACCTAACAGATACTAAGCTCCCATGTCTCTATCTCACTCCTAACTACTCTCGACACCAGAGTCAGTCAGAGAATCCTTTACCATGTGGAGAAAAAGAGGATTCTTACTGGTTTATGGTCTGTCTTCTCTCCTCAAATGTAAGCCCCATGATGGCAAGTTCTTCTATTTCTGTTCATTGTCATATTCACAAAGACTAGGCAGAGCTACACTTTGTGCAGTTAGAACCAAATAAATATTAGTTAATGAATTACACAAACAGGTATGGAACTGTACACTAGACTTCTGGTTAAAGAATAAAGGATCTTCATTTTGTATTCATTTGTGGGTCTTCAGAATGGTCAGGATCTGGAAATCATGTCTCTCTCTTTTTTTTTTTTTTTGTCCTCATCACTGAGACTACAATGGCCTCTCCATAACGTTCACTGCATGAACTAGTGGAAAGAATGTCCGATAGGTTGACTACCTTACATGGTGCCTAAAACTGGCCTGGGAAGAATATGGATGATGCTCTGTCACCACGCACAAGAGCAGGTACATGTAAAGAGTAGAGTTCATAAGGAATGGCCAGTCTTCAGGAAAACCACTATTCCACATGGGCTGAATGAATTCTGCACCAGTGACACACAGTGAAGATGTGATGAAGATAACTATTGTCTTCGAGGACTAAGAAGATTGTAGGCATGTCTCTTCTACTGCTTGTGAACAAGTACCATGGTGGTGTACGTGATCTGATGGAGATGCACACAGGGAACATTGGGAGCCTTGAGAAGTAAGTGATCATCTTACCTGAAGAGGCCACATGGTCAAGGAAGGACTAGGACTTATGAGAAAGTTTTTACCTGAGATGAACCAAGGCTTAGGAGGATGTCTAGCAGATGAGAAAAAGCACAATGAGGGAAGAAGGCACAGACTCTGTAAAGGCCCAGCACAAATGGTTGCCTTCCCGAGTGGATCCTTGGAGGAAGTTAACAAAATGGGGAAGGAGGAAACCCTTATAGCATATGTTCCTCTAAGGAGAGAACCTGTGCTTTCCAATGCTCATGGACAATCCTCCTCTCAAACTACTCATTTCCTTCCCTAGAAAGGTGACCAATAAAGGGGCTCAACTGAGTTAAAAACATTGAGAGACAAAATCAGAGAAGGGAATCAACTATCTGGCTTCCACTCCAGTTTATGTGAGGACTGATGCCTGTGTGTAGTGCAGTGTTCCCTGTGATTGTTAGCACTTACAAGGAAGAATGTGGCTTCACACCAGCTCTGTCCCAAAGCATGACATGGCTGCCCAGAGGCTCCATGTGGGGCAACACAGTCTTCTTCCTTGTTGTGCAGTTCTGAGGCATTCCCACTGGAGTTCTGCTCCTTTGTTCTAAATTCACTTTGTACAAAGAAATGGACAGAATCTGAAACAGAGATCATGTTTTCAGGAAAGCATAATAGTTCTTATTTTCTGATTAAAATAGTAAAGCAGGAGGGTGGCAGAGTGGCAATAAATTTGTACTGTTTTGACAGAGGCTACATTCTAGTCACAGTTACTACCCACAGTCAAGATCCACAATTGCTCAAAGTAAGTAAGTACTTGGAGTCATAGGAGACACACGTGTGTTGAGCCTCCTAATGAACCTCAGTAATGCAGGGAAATTATTCTCAATAAAAGGATATTCCAGACATGTCGGTACACTCTGTGAGAGTGTGGGCAGGTGTAGCAGCAGAAATGGGTCCTCTCCGTGCACTGGTTACAAGGAAAGAAGCCTCCTGGTTTGAGGCAAAGAGCATCTTCTGTTCCCAGGTGGTGACTGCAGCTCACAGCTGAGGTTAGCAGTGGAACTGAGTGGAGAATGTGAGACTTATGGGCATAGTCAGAGGCTGGCCACTTGATATAACATCCACAGGCTGGTGCCTGAGTGTTGGATTTGTTTGTGCACAGGTTTCTTCTGCAGCAGGACAACTCCTCCCATGCTGTGCTTCCTCCTGGTGCCTTATATCTTCAACTGAAAGGTCTTTTTGAGCTTCTAACTCAACCTTCTCTGGTCCACCTCTTTCTGCCATTGGTTCTTTTCTCTACAGCCAGCAGAAACGGTTCCTGAACAAAGGGGAGATCTTCTCATTTTTAGAACAAAGAACTCCTGGGTCAAGAGGGTGTGTGGATGAGGCTTGAAGCAAGTGGCTTCTTTCTGCTCTTTCAGATCTTCCTCCAGCTGGTGCTTCCAACTGTTGCCTTCAGAGCTGTCAGTCATTAAAACCAGTGATTCCTGATACAGACATCAAATGACTGTATCCACAAGGATTGATTCTGGGGCAAAGAAGCCCCACAAAGAAAGTACATAGAGTACAATGTCCCATTTATGAATTCTACAGAATTAAAGCTAGTATAAAGTGACTAGAGAAAGAAAAATAGTTATGTGGGGACACCGTGAACCAGGGAAAGGGAAGGAGGAATTCCAGGGAGAAATGCTGGAAATTTTAAGGAGAATTGATGTACTCACTGTCAATAATGTTAATTGTGACACCTGTGTTTATCATATCACACACTCCGTATGTGGGCCATTGATCTTGTGTCAAATATACACACCAAACTTATTATAGGTAATAACAAAGGTGATTCTGGAGTGACGCAGAGAAAGTGAAATGTTAAAGACATGAAAATACACGTACATGATGCTGATTTTCTCAATATTTATGATAAACTATAAAATAAGCAAAATAAATCCATCCCCATTACAGGATGGGTTCCACATACCTCATAGCCTGACACTGTCCTGTGGGTGATTCGAGGTGGGAGGCAGCAGCTCCAGTGGGGGGAGCACTGACCTAGATCCTGGGGCCAATCTCACCCCATATGTGTTCATGGACACCTTACAAACCTAAGTATACCCACTGGAAAGCTATATAATAAAAAAAAAAACCTTTTTTTTTTTTTAAATTGGTCATTAGCACTAAATTAAACTCATTCACAACTGCTTGGGTCACCTCCTCTCTGTCCGAATAGATCCCCAAGCTGAATATATAGCCAGAGGACATTCAAATAGGGCCTTCCGTGTGCTGATTTAACCAGCACTGCCAAGACCCTGCAGCTGGGAGAGAAGCCCCAGGCCCAAGATCCCTGGGTGTTCATTCAGTGGTCAGGACAGAATACAGAAAACTCACCATGGAATTTGTGCTTGGCTGTGTTTTCTTTGTTTCTCTTTTAAAAGGTAATTCATGGTGAACAAGAGACTTTGAGGATGTGAGTGGATATGAGTGAATGAAACTATGGGTATGTGACAGTTTCCTGGCCATGATGTCTTGTGTCTGCAGGTATCCAGTGTAAGGTGCAGCTGGTGGAGTCTGGGGGAGACCTGGTGAAGCCTGGGGGGTCCCTGAGATTCTCCTTTGCAGCCTCTGGATTCACCTTCAATAGTATGATCTGGATCCACCAGGCTCCAGGTTAGGGGCTGCAGTGGGTCACAGGTATTAACAGTGGTGGAAGTAGCACATACTATGCAAATGCTGTGAATGGCCAATTCACCATCTCCAGAGACAATGGCAAGAACACGCTGTATCTGCAGATGAACAGCCTGAGAGCTGAGGACACGGCCATGTATTACTGTGCAAAAGACACAGGTGACATCAGTGTGAGCCCAGACACAAACCTCACTGTTGACACAGGATGTGCTGAGCTTCAGGGGCACTCAGGGCACCAGAGATTGCTCAGCATCCACAGGGCAGAATTCATACCCAGGAGCAGATGCAGTTGGGTAGGATTTCCTTTTGAGATAAGGGATTTCCTCTCTAGACTCTCAGCTGTCCACAGGGGTATTTAAATTAATTTTCTTCTATCTATAATACCTCCTGCAAATTACCAAGTCCTTGAGAAGCACCTGCACAGCCAAAGCTCTCTGTGTGCTGAGTGCATGTTCTCTGCCCTCAGGGGCACACACTGTCGCCACATGTTTATGAGCTTCCTCCAGGATGACTGCCCAACTCAGTTCTTGTCCTCCCAGCTCCAGTGTATTCTCTAGCTCATTATATGTGTGGACAGAAACAGGTGATCAAGAACCATCCCTCTGTAGGCTCTGCTCCATTTCCTGGATGGAAAACAAACCCACCTGCTCTGAGGGGCTCTCAGACTTCCCCAAGAAAGTGGTGGGATGACAAACCAGAGAGGGAAACCCATCCCTGTCCTGCTGGGTCCTGTTCTGGTGGGAAGCATTGATGAAAGCATCCTTGGTGACTGTGTTGGTTGACTTGGTTCCTGGCTGCCACACAGGGAATCCATATGAATCCAGCTGGCTGGTCCTAGATTCTGTTCTGCCCCTGTTCTGTCCCTTGAATATCCATCAAAAACCAAGCCCCAACCTATCTCTCCTTCTTCTGACTTCTCCCTCAACCTGTCCTGGACACTGAGCCCCATGGAGCTGGAGCCCTGTTACATTGCCCAGATTTTCACCAAGTGCCAGATGGAGAGAGACTCAATAATGAATGTCTACCATGATGGCAGAGCCCTACAGTGGGGCTGAAATGGGGATCTATGCCCCAAATCATGCTCCAGAAGCAAAATAATATATCAGCTACTATATGAGACAATACTGTTGTTTCTTCTCATGTCCCTGCTTTTTTCCCATTGACGGGCCAGAATTTCTCCTAGAGAATTCATAAAGAACTTCTTGGATGTTTGCTCTCTTGATTTCCCATGAAACCAGTCCTTAACTGCACATATCAGAGGAGTCACAGGAATGATCCTTCCACTCGGAGTCCTTCTATTCTTGTAACATCGAAGGTGGTCTACATGGAATCCATCTTTTGTGTCTGAGGTGAATATGTGTCCCTGTAGCTAGAGCAGGGTCAGGCCCAGTCCTCACCTCAGCATGAAGCTCCTTGGGATGTTCGGTCCCAAGAAGAGGGAAACTCATTAGGGGATCTTCTGTTTGTTGGCAGCTGTCCTGTGCGTGTATCTCAGACATTTCAGGAATATCTAAGAACAGTTTCTAATCATGTACCTGCCTCCTGTGAGTCTTCTTGTGTTGTGTGCACTGGTCCAGATGAGACTGGACAAGGAATCCTAGGTGTGCAAACCCTCACAGACTCTCTCACTTACCTGTGTCACCACTGAGTTCTCTTGAACAACTGTGGAACTTAAGTAGTTTCCATTATTCCCCAAATCTCATCTCTCAGTTGGTTCTGTGCATAATCAGCAGGCTGTCCTCAGCTGTGTTTCTTGTAAGCTATATATACATTTCTTTCTGTTCTAATATACAAGCATTGTCAGAAAATGTGCTAGAGGCATGGTCTAATTGTAATATCTAGCTTCCCGTAATATCCTTTGTATGACAAATTTACTGAAAATCTCTGAGGAATTATTATACATATAAGTCCATATATTTTTAGATTCTCTTACTTCTAGAAGTCTTATTAGAATTACTTGCATAACTGGTAATATATTTTACAACAAAAATAGTTCACATAATTATATTTAACAGATGAATTTACTGTGCAATATAACTTATAAAAAACAACCTAAAGTAACAATCTGTTTGGGATTTTCATTCAAGATGTCATAATACCGAATTCCCATTATTTTTGGTATTTGTACAGTTATCTAGTATAAAATTTAAACATAATAGTGATACAAAAGTCTATTGATTTTCCTCTGAATTAAATATCACAACTTCTTGAACAGTAATTGATTAGGAAATTAATTGATTTTGAATCCATGATTAACTGTTTCAGAAGTTACATTGGATAATATTTTATCTCATAATTCATGAAATATGTACAACATATGAATTCTGTAACAGAATTTTCACTTCAGGTTCTAGCTAGGATATTTCTGATTGTGGAGAAAATCTTGTAAATTGTACCAGAATATGCACATGCATGCTATTTGCCTCAGAGACACATGATGACAAAAAATACTGAACGAACACCAATCTCCATATATTCCCCCTTCCAGGACACTCAGAGGATTGTACTTTCCCAACACCACCTGCATTTAGGTGTGGCCACATCCTGTGACCACCCTGCAGGAATGTCCTGGAGGGAAGGCTCCCAGTTGGCCTGGCCATCAACTCAGAACAGTACAGGAGGATAAGAAGAGAACTCTGGTGGAAAACCAGCCCTTCTGTCTATTTGGACCTTAGTGTTCCAGACAGTGGCTGACCCAGTGAACCCAGAACATGCACTGGAAATACAAGTTTATCTTCGTGATAATGTAAGAGTGGGTCTTGTAGAAAATCAAGAACCCTCATGCCAGACACACAGACTTCCGGAGTCTTCACTAGCACACAGGGTTGTGGGTTTCACGTCTAGTGCTGATGTCTGCATTGAAAAGCACACTGTGGCTGAGTGCAGAGTCTAGTGAGGGGAAGGGGAGGAAGAATTTCCCTCAGTCACAGGTTCTGGTGGTCAAAGAAGTAAGTTGACATGAGACAGATTAAGAGGAGAAAGAAAACTACATTTTATTACATGTGCACAGAAGGCATGTAGTGAAACTGAGACCCAGAAGATGAATAGGCAGGCAGTTATTTTTTTCACATTTTGGACAAAGAGATGATACATTTTTGAGGAATTTACAGGAAAATGAAAACAGGTATTTGGAAGCTTTACATAATGAGGAATCTAAGGCATAATTTGTCCTGAGGTAGTATATTAGTTAAAGATTAGCAAGGTCTGTTTATCCAGCTTTCTCAGATAGAAAGTCTATCTCTAGTGAGAAGGATGTGTTTTTACTTGTTAGTACAGGACGGGAATTATTCTTCATGTGGCAGAATTACTCCTGCCTTAAGGGGCACAGAGGAGGGTCTGGGGGGCCTTGCAGCAGGGGTTTCCTAATTACATTCCATGCAAAACAATGAATCTGCTCCTGGTGTACATTTGGGGCAGCCTGTCATGGGCCCTACAGAGGATGTTTGGAGCGTGTGTCCCAGCATGCACTGGTTCAGTGAATGAGGTCCTTCCTTCAGGTCGGACTGTGGTTCCCTGTGCCAGCCACAGAGAAGATTCAGAGGTGCAGGGAAAGGCACTTCACAACTTCCCCAGGATAAAAAGGGCACTGGAACAGAGCTAGGAGCTGCTGGTGGGAATGCAAAATGGCACCCTGGACAAAATGTGGGCCACTCTTTTGTGAGGTGGGTCACATACTTGACCTCAGGACCGGTGACACCAGCTGTAGCCACAGAACTAAGTGAAATTAGACCACCTGTGCACTCAAAACACGCACACAGATGCTTATAGGCGTTGTATTTGTAAGTCCTACATCATGCACACCACTAAGCTTTCTTATAGGGAATGGCTAAACACTGAAATACTAGTTGAAGACAATAGAAACATGAGCCTGAACATGGATGACTTTCATATTCATGGCCCTACATGGAAGAAGCCACTGCCTGAGGCCACATGCTGCATGGTCCCACCTGCACAGTATGCAATCTGCAAGGCCAAGTGCATAGAAAACTAACTGGTGTGGAAGGACAGGTTTGTGCAGACATAAGAATGACCATTTCCTTAAGCTGTGGTTACTGAGTTGTCCTGTAACTTGATTCTGGTCTTGTCACATGGCTATAGTGCATAGGTGAGAGTAAACTCACAGAATCTTACCTTAAATAAGGTCCAGGTGTCCATATTTGTTACTTCTGTAAACTTCTAATTTCCATGATTATTAGATTAATTGTACTAAATTTATATCCAAGAATACTTGCCTCAACACCCTGTGCTGGAGTCATTTTTGTTTTGTTTTTCTTTTTCAACATTTCATTAGTAATTCATGGTTTCCTCTGGTTCCATACAGACTTTACGATTGTTTGCTCCAGCTCTGCTGGAATTTTGATTGGAATGGAATTGCAAGTTTAAATTGCTCTAGGCAGTATAGACATTTTAACAATGTTTATTCTTCTGATCCAAGAGCATTGAATGCTCTTCCATCCTTTTGTGTCTTCTTCAATTTCTTTCAGGAGTGTTCTATAGTTCCTCGAGTACAGATCCTTTACCTCTTTGGTTAGGTTTATTCCCAGGTACCTAATGGTTCTTGGTGCTTAGTGAATGGCATCGATTCTCTTATGTCCCTTTCTGCATTTTCATTGTTAGTGTATAAGAAAGCGACTGATTTCTGTATGTTGATTTTGTATCCTGCCACGTTACTGAATTGCTGTATGAGTTCTAGTAGTTTGGGGGTGGAGTCTTTAGTGTTTTCTATATAAAGTATCATGTCATCTGTAAAGAGAGAGAGATTTACTTTTTCACTGTGAATTTGAATACCTTTTATTTCCTTCTATTGTCTAATTGCTGTTGCTAGGACTTCTAAAACTATGTTGAACAGGAGTGGTGAGAGTGGGCATCCTTGTCGTGTTCTCACGGAAGGCTGATCTCAACGGAAAGGCTGCAAGCTCTTTCCATTGAGGATGATATTTGCTGTGGGTCTTTCA